ATGAAGCTGGGGCTGGCAATGCCCCCAGCCTTCCCAACCCTAGGGGGCTGGCGCAGCCCTTGGCCCTCCCATCCCTGGCAGCTGTGGGGGGCTGAGACGCTGAGTCTGGTGCAGCTCCCGGCTACTGGTGGGAGAGCCAGGCTTGCTTACCCCCAAAGACAGGGGGGTTGTTGAGCGCAGCGAGCCGGGGGCACCACTCCTTAGGACCAAAAAGGAAGAGGCAGAGACGTCACAAAGACCACTTGATCTAGTTAAAATGTTAAATCTTGTGAGAGAGGGACAGGTGTGTATCTGGACCATGGGATCCCAAACTGAGGGGCATGCCCCCCTGGGGGGCCACGAGGCAATCCAGCCCCCCTCCCATCATTCCCCCCCTGCTATTTTTGTTTTTCTGTTTTTTGGCCCCGGTCAGTTCTTTTGGATGTTTTTGCTCAACAAGTTTTACTGCTACTGGGGGGGCTGGCTTTTGATTCTTAAAAATCAAAAAGGAGGCGTGATGCCAAAAAGTTTGGGGACCACTGATCTAGACTGAAGTGTGGGAGGAGCTTATTCTGCTCCCATTTACACTAGTATAATGCTCAATTAACCCATTTAAGTTCAGCAGCGCTAGTCCGCATTGACTGAAGAAGCTGAGGCTGCAAACACAAGAACTGGAGGATATTTCACTTCATGGAGCTAAATCTACACCCCATCATCTTCTTCATTGCAGCTTTGATCTCCTGGTTCCTCAGGCTGTAGACGACCGGATTCACCATGGGAGGCACCACGGCGTAGAGAACACCCACCACGAGATCCAGATTAGAATCCGAGCTGGAGGGGGGTTTCAGGTAGGCAAACGCAGCCGTGAAAAGTAACAAGGAGACCACAGCGAGGTGGGGGAGGCAGGTGGAGAAGGCTTTGTGCCGGCCCTGCTCCGAGGGGATTCTCAGCACCGCTCTGAAGATCTGAACATACGACACAAGGATAAAGGCAAAGCAATTCACAACTAAAAATACACTCAAGGCAATAACCCCAATTTCAATGCGGTAGGAGTCGGAGCAGGCCAGCTTGAGGAGCTGGGGGATATCACAGAAGAACTGGTCGATGACGTTGGACTGGCAGAAGGGTAGCATGAAGGTGCTACTGGTGTGCAGGGCAGAGTAGACAATACCAGCGATCCAGGCACCGGTGGCCATGTGGACACAGGCTCTCCTGTTCATCACTCGCTCATAGTGCAGCGGGAGGCAGATAGCCACGTACCGGTCGTAAGACATGATGGTCAGTAAAGCAAGATCAGTTGAAGCGAAGACGACAAAGAGAGAGACTTGGGTGACACAGGCTGGGTAGGAAATCGACCTGGTGTTCAGGAGGGAAATGACCATGGATTTGGGGACGGTGGCGGAGATGGAGCCGAGGTCCAGGATGGACAGGTTCCCCAGGAAGAAGTACATGGGGGTGTGCAGACGGCGGTTGAGGACGATAGCTGAGATGATGAGAAGGTTCCCCATCAGGGCTGCCAGGTAAAGCATCAGAAACACCACAAAGTGCAAAACCTGCAGCGCCCGGACATCGGAGAACCCCCGGAGCAGGAACTCGGTCACGGTGGTTCCGTTGGACATTTTCTTCCACAGTTCACAGTCCGGCAGCTGTGGACGGAAGGGCACAGACAGGGGTGGGGATCAGAGTGATACAGGGAATAGCCCTGGTTTCCTGCAGCAACCTCTCATGCGGTGGGTGCCACCGTTCCCAGCGACCGTCCCAGCTACTCCCTAGGGGTGGTGAGTGACCACAAAGGTGTCAATTTGCCTGGTTCCTGAACAGTCCATGGAGCTGCATCTGTTTGCATCTGAGGATGCGGCTCGGGATGGGGCTGGATATAATGCCGTACGACGGATGGAGCAATACTCCATCCCAACACAACAGCTCTCTTCGTGATGGACCCCCTCTGGCTACGAACAGCCGACCCCTGGCTCAGCCATGGAACCGAACTGCTGAAAGGCCAGTGGTGACTGGTCTCCTCTTTCTGCAGAAATCTGACAGACTCACTCAGGAGCTTGCCTGACGGCTCCCTCTGTAACGCCGCAGGGACGTCCAGCTGCCTGCTTAGGAGTGAAGTGAGGAGACAAGATCCCACATCCACCTCCAGGCACTGGGGGGCTGGTAACAGGGCGACCATATTTCCCTCGGCTGCTCTGTGTCCAGGGGCAGGGTGAATGGTTAAAGTTTGTGGCTGTGGGCTTCCATTCACTCTTCTCTCCTTAAGACCCCAGGACGTGTAACACGTTGGCTGTGGGCTTACTCATAAGAACATAAGAACGGCTAGACTCGGTCATACCAAAGGTCCATCCAGCCCAGTGTCCTGTCTGCCCACAGTGGCCAAAGCCAGGTGCCCCAGAGGGAGTGTATCGAACAGGTAATGATCAAGCGATCTCTCTCCTGCCATCCATCTCCACCCGCTGACAGAGGCTAGGGACACTACTACTTACACATCCTGGCTAATAGCCATTTATGGACTTAACCTCCATGAATTTATCTAGTTCTCCTTTAAACCCTGTTCTAGTCCCAGCCTTCACAACCTCCTCAGGCAAGGAGTTCCGCAGATTGACTGTGTGTTGTGTAAAGAAGAACTTCCTTTTGTTTGTTTTAAACCTGCTGCCCATTAGTTTCATTTGGTGGCCCCTAATTCTTATATTACTTTTCCTTATTCACTCTCTCCACACCACTCACGATTTTATAGACCTCTATCCTATCCCCCCTTAGTCTCCTCTTTTCCAAGTTGAAAAGTCCCAGTCTCTTTGATCTGCCCTCAACTCAGCTTTACCTTTGATCACTTGTCCCTTTGAAACAGCCTTAAACACAGTTGCTCTACAGTGTCAGGGTTCAGATTTCAGTCCTATTGGACACGATTAATGTCTCCACCCTGGCTTCATGCTAACTTTCCAATGTGGGGGATGGTGTTCAAATTATTTACAAGGAATTCCTGGTTTCCAGCAGGACAAAATTTCCCAGGAAACACAAGTTTCACTGCGGGAGCCGTCTGTAACTTCAGAATCGACACGTGGTCCTGTGGCATCTTGGGAATACCACTCCAATATCCTCCCCCTGCCACCCATCCCCTGTGGTTGGGCGCCACTTATCCCTTCCTTTCCAGATGGTATAGAAATGCAGCTCAGACCTCCAAGCTCCGCCTGGCCACCGAGATAACCCAGCCGCCTCCTCTCCCCTGGCTCCAGCGTGGGCAGGACGGGGTTAAGCCCTAAGGATGCCTGAGACCACAGCGAGGTGGGGGAGGCAGGTGGAGAAGGCTTTGTGCCGGCCCTGCTCCGAGGGGATTCTCAGCACCGCTCTGAAGATCTGAACATACGACACAAGGATAAAGGCAAAGCAATTCACAACTAAAAATACACTCAAGGCAATAACCCCAATTTCAATGCGGTAGGAGTCGGAGCAGGCCAGCTTGAGGAGCTGGGGGATATCACAGAAGAACTGGTCGATGACGTTGGACTGGCAGAAGGGTAGCATGAAGGTGCTACTGGTGTGCAGGGCAGAGTAGACAATACCAGCGATCCAGGCACCGGTGGCCATGTGGACACAGGCTCTCCTGTTCATCACTCGCTCATAGTGCAGCGGGAGGCAGATAGCCACGTACCGGTCGTAAGACATGATGGTCAGTAAAGCAAGATCAGTTGAAGCGAAGACGACAAAGAGAGAGACTTGGGCAACACAGGCTGGGTAGGAAATCACCCTGGTGTTCAGGAGGGAAATGACCATGGATTTGGGGACGGTGGCGGAGATGGAGCCGAGGTCCAGGACTGACAAGTTCCCCAGGAAGAAGTACATGGGGGTGTGCAGACGGCGGTTGAGGACGATAGCTGAGATGATGAGAAGGTTCCCCATCAGGGCTGCCAGGTAAAGCATCAGAAACACCACAAAGTGCAAAACCTGCAGCGCCCGGACATCGGAGAATCCCCGGAGCAGGAACTCGGTCACAGTGCTTCGGTTGGACATTTTCTTCCACAGTTCACAGTCTGGCAGCTCTGGAGGGAAGGGCACAGACAGGGTGGGGATCAGTGATACAGGGAATAGCCCTGGTTTCCTGCAGCAACCTCTCATGCGGTGGGTGCCACCGTTCCCAGCGACCGTCCCAGCTACTCCCTAGGGGTGGTGAGTGACCACAAAGGTGTCAATTTGCCTGGTTCCTGAACAGTCCACGGAGCTGCATCTGTTTGCATCTGAGGATGCGGCTCGGGATGGGGCTGGATATAATGCCGTACGACGAATGGAGCAATACTCCATCCCAACACAACAGCTCTCTCCGTGATGGACCCCCTCTGGCTACGAACAGCCGACCCCTGGCTCAGCCATGGAACCGAACTGCTGAAAGGCCAGTGGTGACTGGTCTCCTCTTTCTGCAGAAATCTGACAGACTCACTCAGGAGCTTGCCTGACGGCTCCCTCTGTAACGCCGCAGGGACGTCCGGCTGCCTGCTTAAGAGTGAAGTGAGGAGACAAGATCCCACATCCACCTCCAGGCACTGGGGGGCTGGTAACAGGGCGACCATATTTCCCTCGGCTGCTCTGTGTCCAGGGGCAGGGTGAATGGTTAAAGTTTGTGGCTGTGGGCTTCCATTCACTCTTCTCTCCTTAAGACCCCAGGACGTGTAACACGTTGGCTGTGGGCTTACTCATAAGAACATAAGAACGGCTAGACTCGGTCATACCAAAGGTCCATCCAGCCCAGTGTCCTGTCTGCCCACAGTGGCCAAAGCCAGGTGCCCCAGAGGGAGTGTATCGAACAGGTAATGATCAAGCGATCTCTCTCCTGCCATCCATCTCCACCCGCTGACAGAGGCTAGGGACACTACTACTTACACATCCTGGCTAATAGCCATTTATGGACTTAACCTCCATGAATTTATCTAGTTCTCCTTTAAACCCTGTTCTAGTCCCAGCCTTCACAACCTCCTCAGGCAAGGAGTTCCGCAGATTGACTGTGTGTTGTGTAAAGAAGAACTTCCTTTTGTTTGTTTTAAACCTGCTGCCCATTAGTTTCATTTGGTGGCCCCTAATTCTTATATTACTTTTCCTTATTCACTCTCTCCACACCACTCACGATTTTATAGACCTCTATCCTATCCCCCCTTAGTCTCCTCTTTTCCAAGTTGAAAAGTCCCAGTCTCTTTAATCTGCCCTCAACTCAGCTTTACCTTTGATCACTTGTCCCTTTGAAACAGCCTTAAACACAGTTGCTCTACAGTGTCAGGGTTCAGATTTCAGTCCTATTGGACACGATTAATGTCTCCACCCTGGCTTCATGCTAACTTTCCAATGTGGGGGATGGTGTTCAAATTATTTCCAAGGAATTCCTGGTTTCCAGCAGGACAAAATTTCCCAGGAAACACAAGTTTCACTGCGGGAGCCGTCTGTAACTTCAGAATCGACACGTGGTCCTGTGGCATCTTGGGAATACCACTCCAATATCCTCCCCCTGCCACCCATCCCCTGTGGTTGGGCGCCACTTATCCCTTCCTTTCCAGATGGTATAGAAATGCAGCTCAGACCTCCAAGCTCCGCCTGGCCACCGAGATAACCCAGCCGCCTCCTCTCCCCTGGCTCCAGCGTGGGCAGGACGGGGTTAAGCCCTAAGGATGCCTTGGGCACCAGGAAGTCTGGTCACATAACTAGTAACATTCGGCGACCTCTCTGCTCAGTGACCTCTCTCAGTGACTGTTTACCTCAGCCACTTCCTGCCTGCGCGGGGCCGTGGGTCTGAGGACAGGCCCGAGGAGAAACAGAACAGAACATCTCTGGTCATCCCCGACGGAGCCCCCAGCTCAAACCCCTCCAGCGCATCATTGACAATCTGCAACCTGACCTGGAAATCCCCCCCCCTCCCCACAGGCCTTGGGAACAGGCCAGTCCTCACCTGCAGGCAGCCCCCAAACTGAAACAAATTCAGTCCAGCAACCACACAGCACACCCCCATCCTACTCACCCAGGAACACAGCCCTGCAATCAGCCCCAGTGCCAACCCTGCCCTCACATCTACACAAGCATCCCCAGCACAGGAGCCAAACACATCAGCCACCACCTAAGGGGCTCAGACAACTGCATATCCATCGATGTGATCTATGCCAGCAAGTGCCAGCAATGCCCCTCGGCCGTGTGCATTGGCCAAACCAGTCTCTCCATCAAAGGAGAAATAGAAACACATCTGATGTCAGAAATAGTAATGCACAGAAACCTAGGGTATGTCTACACTACCCCGCTAGTTTGAACTAGCGAGGTAATGTATGCATACCGAACGTGCAAATGAAGCCCGGGATTTGAATTTCCCGGGCTTCATTTGCATAAGCGGGGAGCCGCCATTTTTAAATCCCCGCTGGTTCGAACCCCGTGCCGCGCGGCTACACGGGGCTCGAACTAGGTAGTTCGGACTAGGTTCCTATTCTGAACTACCGGTACAACGATTGGTTCCACAAGGTTGAAGCCCAGGAAATTCAAATCCTGGGCTTCATTTGCACGTTCAGTATGCATACATTACCCCGCTAGTTCGAACTAGCGGGGTAGTGTAGACATACCCCTATAGGGGAACATTTTAACCTGCCTGGGCACTTAATCCTGGATTCAAAAGTAGCCTATTCTACAAAGGAAAGTCACCAGCCAACTACAGAGAGGGTCTACAGAACTGGAATGTATTGATAGTTTTAACACCACTACCCTGGTTTGGACAATAACTGGTCGGTGCATTACAAAGCTAGTTTCCCCTGCCTTTAACAACTGCATTTCCACATCAAAAGCCATGTATAGGACACACTCAGCTTATTTAATGAGCAGCATTAACACGGGTCCTACAATGGACAGGGACTGCTTCTGCTGTTCTATAGATCTCTTGGCTTCTCTCATTTCGAGTCCTGTTCACCTGAGAAAGTAGGTTTTGCCCACAAAAGCTCGTGACCCCATCTCTGTATTTTGGTTAGTCTCTGAGGTGCCGTGGAACCAATCGTTGTCTGTTAGTACATGCCTGTTTGGTGCCCCATTCACAGTGGGTGTGTGTAGCCAGCAGCAGGGTGGAACAAAGGAGATGGGGCGAAAGCAAGAGATGTTGATGCCAAATCCACTGAGCTCTGCCTTGTCCGCAGGCCGGGCTAAGAGAGACAGACTGTGGCTGGCGGTTTCCATTCACTCTTCTCAAGTCAAGGCACCAAGATGTTAATCGTCTGAGCTGTGAGATGCCCACTTTGCTGCTTGCTCAGTTTTACTATCCAATGGGCGTCCCTTTGAAAGGGCAATACTCATGGTTGCATAAAGCGAGTGGGTTCAGCTTTCAGTATTATTGGACAATTAAGCATTCCACCCTGACTTTTCGCCAACTTTCCAGTTGGAGATAACATTAAAATTAATGCCAAGTTATTCTCGGGTTTTAGCTGAAATCATTTCCCTGGGAAACGTGATTCTATCTATCTATCTATCTATCTATCTATCTATCTATCTATCTATCTATCTATCTGTCGATCTGTCGATCTGTCTTGGTCTCTAAGGTGCCACAGGACTACTCATTGTTTTGAAACACAATATGTGCCTCAAAAAACTCAAAACATTTTTTTACTCAGTTCAATTAATATTTTTCAGGTTTCTCCACTTTATCTGCCATGGGCCGGTTCTCACTGGCGTAAACCTGGCTGGTATCTCTGGACTGGTGGAAGGGTGACATGGGGATGTTCCCAAATAAAAAGTTTGGTTTTGACACAATTCTTCTTTCAAGGCCCCTTGTTCTCTGCTGGGGGAAGAAAAATCCCCTCCCTCCCCCTCCTCATGAAGCTCTAAAAGGTGGAGTGAGTGATGTGACCAGTCCTGCAGCGTTCCCTTCGTAACTCGAGTCTAGTAAGAAATCACCCCTAAGTACATTGAATTGGAATAACACACTCACCGTGCTGGGCTCCCCAGTCTGGGACGTATTTCACCACCAGGATTCTCAGTCACTGCCCAGCCATGGACCAGCCAGCAGTGCCCTATGTGTGTTGCTTTTGCCTTGCCCCTCCAGCATATCTTAGAGCTGCTGGATATCTCCAGTTCCTGGCAGGCAGGGACCTGCCCCACAGAGGGCTGCTCCCGGCTCCTCCTTAGGCCCAGCGGCAAGGGAGTAAAGAAGAGAAATCCCCTCCCTGCTCTGAAACTGCTCCCGGCCGGCGCTCGCTGCAAACAGGGGCCCAGCTTGTCCTGGGGCTAAATAGCCGACTCTGGTCTCCAGGGCGGGGAGATCTCACTCAGCAGCAAACCGCCCTGACAGCCTGATCCTGCTGCCCCTCAACCCCCAAGGGGAATGCCCCACAATGGCAGAGGCCCTGGGAGGAGCCTGGCTGCAGACAGAGCCGGGCTGAAGCCCAAAGGGGAGGGAAGGAGATTGCCGAATGAACTCTGGGTGGGGTTCAAAAGCAACGCCCCAGGGATGCTCCAGAGGGGAGTCGTTTGGTCTCTCTCCAGGCTGGAGATGGACTTGGGCCTGGGGGCTCTGCACGGGAGGGGGAAGGAGCTGTGAGTGGGAGGGGGAAGGCGCTGTGGGTCAGGTGGGGCTGTCATCCATAATCCCAGTCAAGGGTAGGGGCCCAGGCAGAGACTGACACAATCCGGAGGGGAATGCCTGGCTCTGTGGCCAGGAGGGATTCCTTTCCTCAGTCGGGGGATGCTGCTGCAAGAACATATCCATGGATCTATCTGGTTCTTTTTTGAACCCTGTTAAAGTCCTGGTCTTCACCACATCCTCTGGCAAGGAGTTCCACAGGTTGACTGGGCACTGAGTGAAGAAAAACTTCCTTGCGTTTGTTTTAAACCTGCTCCCTATTCATTTCATTTCATAAGCTTGTGAAGCTGGCTTCGAGGGGGGCTGGTCCAATATCCCACCATCTCTTCCAAACACAGAGACCCAGGTGAAGGGGCGGAATGGGTGGAAGTTGCCACGTGGACAAAGAAGAGAGAAGAGGGAGCACTCTGGGCTCTGAGTGGACGTTGTCTTGTGCTCCCATCCCTCTCTTGGGGTGGGACCTCTCCCCCTCAAACTGGGTCCGGAGTCACACCACTTCGCCTTCCAATCGTGATGTCTCCTGCCCTGGTTTCCACCTATGGGTCCTTCCATAGGAGCTGTGACCAGTAGTAAATTGAGTGACTAGCCAGCCGTGAAAAAAAAATGGGGGACAATTTACTGACCAGCGTGGGACCAGGGCATCGCAGAAGAGAAAACACCGGCAATGAAACGACTGCAGGAGTTTTGCTGCAAAAAAGAAAACTCGCTTTGTCCTTAGGAAATATTGCAACAGCTTTATCGTCCACAAAACCGTCAGACCAACAGAGTGTTTCTACCTTTGTTTGTTCCTTCATTCGTTTAAACAGAAGAACACAAAATGATATAAGCACCTGAATGCCCGAATCAATGTATAGATGTAGCCCAGAAGGGATCTAAAAGAGACTCCGCCCCTTCTGGGTCACAATTAACAGGCCGATGATCAGGCTGGGCCAATGGTCACTGGGTGCTGGTCCATGCTCAAGGCACAAATAGTTAACAGGAGCTATGGGAGCAGCCCTCGCTCAGGGTGGGCCAACAAACAAGCAATTCACAAATGCCAGGCAGTGAGCCCAGGCCCCGGTTCAAGGTGGGGCCGTGACCTAGGCTCTGCTTGAGGGCAGGTCAGTGAATCGTATAATCATAGAACCTAGAGCTGGTAGAGACCTCAGGAGTCATCGAGTCCAGCTCCCTGCCCAAGGCAGGACCAACCCAACTCAATCAGCCCAGCCAGGGCTTTGTCAAGCCAGGACTGAAAAACCTCTAGGGATGGAGATTCCACCTGCAGGCCAGGGATGGTTCATGGAGACCTGACCCCCAACCCCCGAAGGAGCCTCAATCTGGGGAGAGCAGCCCCACCCTTGGGAAACGCCTCCTTGACACCATGGTTAAGCCCTGTAAGCAACCCCGAACACCTAGGTCCATGTCTTAGAGTACATCTAGACTACAGGGTTTTGTCAACAGAAGTTTTGTCGACGGATAGGGTGTGTCTAGACTATAGGGATTTGTCGACAAAAGTGGACTTTTGTCAACAAAACTATACATAAAGTCGACAGAACTCAGCAGTTTTGTTGATGGCTGTAAACCTCATTTTATGAGGAATAACGCCTTCTGTCGACAGAGTCCTGTCAAAAGAAGGCGTTATTGCATCTAAACTGTCTTTTGCGTCTACACTGCCATGTCGACAAAGCGGCTTGCTTTGTAGACAGAACTGGATGTAGTCTAGATGTACCCATACTGTAGACAAAGCTTCTGTCGACAAAGAGTGTCTAGACTGCATCCAGTTCTGTCGACAAAGCAAGCCGTGTTGTTGACATGACAGTGTAGACGCAAAGGACAGTGTAGATGCAATAATGCCTTCTATCGACAGAACTCTGTCGACAAAAGGTGTTATTCCTCGTAGAATGAGGTATACAGCTGTCGACAGAACTGCCGAGTTCTGTCAACGTTATGTTGACAAAACTGCCAAGTTCTGTTGACGTTATGTCGACAGAACTCAGCGGCAGTGTAGACGCAGGTATAGTTTTGTTAACAAAAGCCCACCTTTCTCAACAAAACCCTGTAGTCTAGACACACCTGGTAGTCCCCTCCCTGAGTCCACCCCCCTGGTGTGCACCTCATCACCCTATTCCTCCTGTCCTGAGTCACTCTTTAGCCCCAGGCAGAGATTCCCCGCCAGGTGATGGAGTGTCAAGGCCCACAGCACAGTGAGGAGCTGCTGCTGCAACCCCTGCCACCCTCAACCTCATCCCTGGCCCTCCTCCAGCAACTGGAGGGGGGCCAAGAGGCCAGGGGGCAGCTAGGGCTGGCTGCAGCCAAAGGGGAGGGAATGGGGGGCCCAAGAGGCTGGGGAGGAGAATGGGGGAGGACTGAGAGGCCCAGGCTGTGGCTGTGGGAGGAATGGAATCCCCAGGGTCGGGTGCTGCCCATGGCCCTCTGCTCCCCAGTGGCTGCAAGGGGCTGAGATGCTGGGTCTGGTGTAGCCCCCGGTTACTGGCAGGAGAGCCAGACTTGTTTGCCCCCAAAGATAGCACAGGGGCACCACCCCCTAGCATGCCAAAAGAGAAGGAGAGGCAGAGACTTCACAAAGACCACTAGTGACTTCACTTTGGCTGGTGATCTGTGCAAAATGTTGTGCATCTGTGCTATTAAATCCCTGCGAGAGAGGGACAGGTGTGTATCGAGAATGAGGGGAGTGAGGAGTAAATTCTGCTCTTATTTACACGCGTATAAAGCTAGATTAACCCATTTAAGTTCAGCGGTGCTAGTCCACATTTTGTAAAGAAGCTAAGGCTGCAATCACAGCACTGAAGGACATTTCAGATCTTGGAGATTAACCTCCACCCCATCAGTTTCTTCAGTGCAGCTTTGATCTCCTGGTTCCTCAGGCTGTAGATGACCGGATTCAGCATGGGAGGCACCACGGCGTAGAGAACACCCACCGCCAGATCCAGATTAGATGCTGAACTGGAGATGGGTTTCAGGTAGGCAAACACAGCTGTGAAAAGTAACAAGGAGACCACAGCGAGGTGGGGGAGGCAGGTGGAGAAGGCTTTGTGCCGGCCCTGCTCCGAGGGGATTCTCAGCACCGTTCTGAATATTTGAACATATGACACGATAATAAAAACAAAGCAATTCAAACCTAAAACCACACTAAAGCCAATAATCCCAAGTTCACTGAGATAGGAGTCGGAGCAAGCCAGCTTCAGGAGCTGGGGGATTTCACAGAAGAACTGGTTGATGACATTGGACTGGCAGAAGAGTAACATGAAGGTGTTCCCCGTGTGCAGGGCAGAGTAGACAATACCAGCGATCCATGTACCAGTGGCCATGTGGACACAGGCTCTCCTGTTCATCACTCTCTCATAGTGCAGCGGGTGGCAGATGGCGACGTGTCGGTCATAGGCCATGATGGTCAATAAGGCAATATCTGTTGAAGTGAAGAGGACAAAGAGAAAGACTTGGGCGACACAGGCAGGGTAAGAAATGGACCTGCTGTCTAGGAGGGAGTTGCCCATGGAATTGGGGACGGTGGAGGAGATGGAGCCGAGGTCTAGCATGGCCAGATTGACCAGGAAGAAGTACATGGGGGTGTGCAAACGGCGGTCGAGGACGACAGCTGAGATGATGAGAAGATTCCCCATCAGGGCTGCCAGGTAAAGCACCAGGAACACCACAAAATGCAGAATCTGCAGCTCCCGGACATCAGAGAAGCCCAGGAGCAGGAACTCGGTCACGGTGCTTCGGTTGGACATCCTGTTCCTCAGCTCAGAGTGTGGTAACTGCGGAGGGAAGGGCACAGATAGGGGTGGGGATCAGAGTGATATATGGAATGGCCCTGATTTCCTGCAGGACCCTCTCATGCGGTGGGTGTCCACCATGCCCAGCGCCCGTCCCACCCAGTCACTAGGAGCAGTGAGTGACCACACGGGTGTCTGTTGGCCTGGCTCCTGTACAGTCCACGGAGCTGCACCCGTTTGCACCCTCTGAAGGTCGGGCTCAGGATGGAGCTGGATACAATGCTGTATGAAGGCTGGAGCAAAGCACAACCCAACACAATAGCTCAACCGAGACGGACCCCCCACTGGCTACGAACAGCCGGCCCCTGACTCGGCCATGGAACTGAACTGCTACAAGGCCAGTAGCGGCTGGTCTCGGCTTTCTGCGGAAATCTGACATAGACTCATCAGGATCTTCCATGACGGCTCCCTCTGTAACGCCGCAGGGACGTCCGGCTCCCTGCTTGCGAATGAAGTGAGGAGACAAGATCCCACATCCACCTCCGGGCACCGAGGGGCTGGTAACTGGGTGACCATATTTCCCTAGGCTGCTCTGTGTCTATGGGCAGAGTGAACAGATAAAGTTTTGGCCGTGGGCTTCCATTCACTCTTCTCCAATTAAGTCCCCAGGACGTGTAACACCTGTGCTGTGGGATGACCGGTTTGCTATTTACTCCGTTTTACCGTTCAACGGGTGTCCCTTTGAAACAGTGTTAAACACGGTTTCTGTACAGTGACGGGGTTCAGATTTCAGTCCTATTAGACATGATTAATGTCTTTCCAAAGTGGGGTATGGCGTTCAAATTATTTCAAATGATTTCTTGGTGTCCAGCAGAAGACATTTCCCAGGACAATGTGTTATTCTCGAAACACAAGTTTCAGTGCGTGAGCCGTCTGTATCTTCGGAATCGACAGGTGCTCCTGTGGCATCTTCGGGTGTATCTGCTCAGCACTAAGATACGCAATTTGTGTAACTGACCATCTTATTTTGATTGCATTTCAAAATGGCATATTTCAAAATTTGGTGCCTCTCCACAGCACCACAATTCAAAATCACATCTTATTTCAAGGCATCTCTTAACCCATGTGGAACAAAGGTTGCAGCGATGCTGAAATAGTGTACCCGTAATTTCAAAAAATATTTTGAAATAACGGGCGGCTTGTTAAGACACGGGGTGGCTATTTTGGGATAATTTAGTGGCTTCCAGTATCCCGAAATAGCCGCGCTGTGTAGACATAGCATGAGAGACCTCACCCTTTATTCGGCTCTGGTGAGACTACATCTGGAGTATTGTGTCCAGTTCTGGGCCCCCCACTATAGAAAGGGTGATGACTCATTGGAGAGGGTCCAGCGGAGGGCTACCAAAATGATTAGGGGGCTGGAGTGCATGACCTGTGAGGAGAGCCTGAGGGATTTGGGTTTGTTTAGTCTGCAGAAGAGAAGGGGGTGGGATTTGAGATCACCCTTCCTGAAGGGGGTTCCAAAGAGGATGGAGAGAGGCTGTTCTCAGTAGGGGCAGATGGCAGAACAGGAGCAATGGGCTCAAGTTACAGTGGGGAGGTCTAGGTTGGATATGGGGAAGCACAGGGATGGGTTCCCTAGGGAGGGGCTGGAATCTCCATCCCTAGAGGTGTTTAAGTCCCGGCTTAACAAAGCCCTGGCTGGGATGATTGAGTTGGGATTGGTCCTGCCTAGGGCAGGGGACTGGACTAGATGACTCCTGAGGTCTCCTCCAGCTCTGTGATTCTATGATTCTATGAAAATATATATTGCATTATGAGCTTTCATCAGAAGAGGGTTTTAACCACTGTTACCGGGTGTCCCCCCCAGTCTCGGGCAGCCACCCCCAAGTTCGGGGTGCTCCCTAAGTTTCACACTCGACCGCCTGTCAGCGGCCCCTGTCGTATCTGCTGTCGGCCCGCGTTCCGACAAACCGCGGGGGCCGGGAAGGGGGCTCGGGCCCTCCCACACTCCGAGCCCCGACCCAGGGCCCTGAGACAGGGACGGTAATCCCTGGATAGTGGAGGGGGACGAGTTCCCCCAAACTCTCCACTCGCGGGGACCACGGCCCCGCCCTGGGTCGCTTCTTCCCGGCTCAGCCCCGGGGTTTTCCCCAGTTGGGGAATAAGCTTACCCCGGGTCTCTGCCCCCGCCGAGGGTTCGCGCCTCGAAGCCCCTCGGAGTCCTCCCGTCCCGGTGCGGGGCTGTCCTTCGCCGCATTCCTCCCTCTCCGGCTGAGACTCTCCTCCTTTTGAATTCCCCGCTGCCCTTGAAAGGAGGCCCCGCCCCCGACGTCTGCGTCCTTTAGCCCCGCCTCCCTGGCGTGCCCAGTGACGTCCTCCGGCCGCGCCGGAACGTCCTGGCGCCCGCTGGGCGGCCCCTCTTCAGCTCGGCCCCCCCGAGCCTCGCTCCGCTGGAGCTCCCCTGCTCCCTGCTCTCCTGGTGAGCCGAGCCCCGTCTCGGAGTCCGGCCCCGCGTACGGTGCTGTGGGGATGGTTCCTGCTTCGCTCCCCCCGGATCTGGGCTCCGTGCGGGGAGGCGCAGAAGCGGCGCCTGCCCCGTCCCAGCGGGGGAGCGCACAAGCGGCGTCTGCCCCGCTTCGGCGGGGG